CGTCCGTCTTTTCGTCCGTCTTTTCGTCCGTCTTTTCGTCCGTCTTTTCGTTCGTCTTTTCGTTCGTCTTTTCGTTCGTCTTTTCTTTCGTCTTTTCGTCCGTCCGTCCGTAAACAACGCTAGTGGCTAAACCGTTCAGCCGATTTTCTACCAAATTGATATTCCGTAATCGATCTGAATTTGAAACTGCCTCTTGAATTAAAAACCGATATTTTAATTTTGACGGGTATACTTCATGAAGCCACTGGGACAATTAAAAAAAAAAGGCTCCCGCGATGTTGATTGAATTTTGTTGTTGGTTAATAGAAAGGACGTTGAAAACAATGGGGATGGTCTCATGTTCGTTGGAAACCATGATTTTTCGAAAATTGCCAAGTTCAAAACGTTTTCGGCGTCTTTCTACAACTATGAAGGATGAACTTTTTTGTAAATGAAATATTTTTTCAACATAGGTTTTGAAATAAAGTCATGCACAAGTTTTGGAAAATTTGAGGTTTTTTTTGCGTAATATTGCATGAAAGTACACTATGTGATCTAAAGTATTCGGACACGTGGTTGAAAATGACGTACTTGTTCGTAGCGCCCTCGAGCAATAATGCTGGAATTCGATAGCGTATTGGCCTACCCCTATCTTTGAGGACAGCTTCCACTCCCGCAGGCATACTTTCAATCAGGTGCTGGAAGATTTCTTGAGGATTGGCAGCCCATTCTTCACGGAGTGCTGCACTGAGGAGAGGTATCGATGTAGGTTGGTGAGGCCTGGCACGAAGTCGGCTTTGCAAAACGTCCTGAAGTTCCCAGTCCATTATTGGGATATTATTGTTGTGTAACCACTCCGCCACAGGCCGTGCAGTATGAACAGATGCTCGATCGTGTTGAAAGATGCAAAGGCCATCCCCGAATTGCTCTTCAACAGTGGGAAGCAAGAAGGTGTTTAAAACATCAACGTAGGCCTGTGCCGTGGTAGTGCCGCAAAAGTTCGCCATTTTTATCTGATTCTTCTTACAATTACAATATTGAAGATGTTTCTTTTTACTTAAAGAAATATGTTGTTCAAAGACATATCTTGAAATAATGTCACGTAGAATATTTCGAAACTATGTGTAGTTTTAAGAGGAAAAGTTTAATGAAATATTTGGAGCCATTACAAAAATGGTAATAGTTTTGAGGCTTCTTGAAAAGTATCCCTCAGAATAAAAATATCCGTTCCAAATTTCCCAGTGGGTCTAGTTCGGGCACATTGAACAGAAAATACAAATTTTGATCACAAATATCAGAACTGTGTTGGCGCTAACATTGGCCACACACTGACGGACGGACAGACAAATGCAAATGCAAATGCAAATGCAAATGTCCCTCAACCAATTTTTCATTATCAAGGACCCATATGCGACTAAGCTGATTGCAGGGTTTTCACCAAAATTGATATTCCCCGATAGACCTGCCCGATTTCGCGACCACTTGAATTTGAGACGTATATATCAGTATTTGTGGATTTGTATGACGTCTGAAGGATACAAGAGAGAGACATGCGTTTTCCCGTCAATCGATTTTTCTGTGTCAAGGACCCTCAAAACGTGGAAATGTGATTACACAACGAGTTAAATGTAGTAATTTACTACAAACAATAGAAACAACACTTTTTCGTTTCCGGAGTCGGGCAAAAAGGTTTTATGTAGAAAAGATTTCCAGCGCACCATTAAAATACTTTTTCTTACAAAGGCGAGAAAATAGTTAGTACTACCACAGCACACACTATCTTGCATTATTTGTAACAGCTTTAATGTTCAAAAATTCAGAAAGTTCAAAGAAAATGAGGCCTGCGCCATTTTTAAGCGTCTTTTACAATATGCGAAGAACTTTTTTTTAAAAAAATTGAGTCGTTTTTTGAGAAAACAGATTGCAGAACGTCTTGCAGAAATTATATATTATATAATTATGTTGATTTTGAAGGGTACTTTATTTCAAACCTTTTCAAATTTTTCTCAGGAATTTATCAATATGTTTTGATTAAACTTTCTTCTCTGTTGCTTTGAGAGCACTTAAAAGAATGCCGATGATCTCACTTTTGTTGTAAACCCTGACTTTGAAAATGGCAAAATTTCAATTTTTTCACAATAATATTGAAGTTAGAGATCTTCAGATCTGTTCTTCAGAGGCATATATTGAAATAAGGTCATGTACAATATTTCATAAATATGAGTAGTTTTTCCGTAATTATGCATGAAATATGGGCATTTTGAATCAATTGTTTTGTCAAAAACAGCTTCAATTTATTTCTATAGTTTTTCTGCTCATGCGTACGGTAAAAAAAGTAATGCTGGTTCCATTTTCGCTGAACTCTTACTATTTTTGAAAATTGCATTTATAAGTTAACATTGCAAACTATAATATTGAAAATAGAGGTTTTTGTCTTGAATAAAATCAGTTCTAAAAATAAATATTTACAAAATGATCTTATTTAAAAAAAGGAAGTTTTGCATCATTTCTGCTTGAAGCTGCACGTTTGATGGCGTAGGGATCACATATCTGGAGTGTTAACTTCAAGAACAGGAGTTCCTTTATTGGGAGCGGAGAAAAAATGTTTCTATTTGGAAACATTTTTCAAATTTATAATTCATTTTTCTTTTGCAGATAGTATATTACTATATTTCGTAGCCGTTACCTACTATCAGAGAAATTATGTGCTATTGTAGCACCACTAGTTATTTTAATATTTCAACTTTAGAGCATATTGAAGAATATGGTAGCAAAAATATCATCAAAAAACTCTTTACATTGAAAAAGGTCATGAAAAATGGGCATTTCATCTTTGGGTCAATTGCGATTCGTGAATGATTTTGTTTTGCATATCCATTATCTGTTCATTAAGGCATTGGCAGCTTTGACAGGTAAACGTCTACCAATTCATTTTCGTTTTTGTATACTTTCATTAAAAAATAATATTTAAAAGCAATTTCTGAACTTGCACTTGTATAAATCTGAGACATAAAGATATAAACGGTTATTTGTTTTCACATTCCAGCTTCAAACTATTTTGAGACAACGCAAATTAAACACAAAACTTTATTTTTCAATTTGATATTGATTGATTGGTGTTTCCGAGAGCGTCAACTATAGAACTCATTGATCCCTTAAGTGTAGTGCATTTTTATTGCTGGAGGTGGCGTTGGTCTCCTGCTAGATGACGAGATTTGGCGTCGACCTACTCGTGACTTACGGGGATTTCCCAAAGCGCGTACCTCCCACCAACGGGACATCGCTCCAGCCGAGAGAAACTCTAAGCTCCCGACTGATCTCCCGACATGTATGGTAGTGTAGTGCATTCAAGTGTGTGTATACAAGGGGTGAGGATATGACAAGGAAGAGGAAGGAATGATCGCGCGTGGTCCTTGACTCGTTTGTTAGGGTATTGCTCCAAAATTCGCCTATCAGAGCAGCCGTCCACTAGAATTCAGTTCCAGAATTCAGCTCCCGACAGCGCCTGAATTCGACCTAACCATCTTGCTAATGTCGAAAATCCTGTCACCGTCGGGACTCGAACCCTATGCTCTCCAGATGCACTGCAATGACATCTGTTGATGCCCTGAGCCACCTAAGCCGTGCAATATTCGATTTATTACTACACTGTGAATCTTAGTTGTGCAATTTTTGGATGTCCTTAACAGTTTCAATGTTAACTCAGTTAAGTCCACTTTTCAGGTAATTATTCCATATTCTCCTTCTGAAGTGAGGTGCAAGAGCGAATAAACCAGTTTACAGTTGTTTTAGCAGTTATAACTGTAAATGTAGAATTAGAGCTGTAAATAAGAATTTGCTGAAATTAATTTTTAATTACATTACGGTTTCATGCTACTCGACATATCGATTGTAAGAGGTATGCTTGGTCCACCTTATCTCCAATAATCAATATTTTGCAATATTACATTTATCCCGACCAGTGATATTTAATGAATATAAATTATCTACAATGTATGTACAAATACAAATACAACAGGTGTACGAAATCTCTTTGCGTCAGATCGTGATCTGCCAAACACCAACGCATATAGAGTTGCCTATCAATCGGGGGAAAATAATTACGCCCCCGTTCCATCCTAGAAGATACGCTTCAGTGAGGCAACCGGTCTCGAGCCATTTGTCGTTGATTCCGTTGTCATCTTTGTGGCCCCATGTTCACAGTCGTGCGTTTGTGCCACAATCTCGAGGAAAATAAGGGCCGACCAGCATTTTGGCTTTCGCCTCATAATTTAAGGGATCTAATGATGGCAAGATGGGAAAGCGTTAAAAGGATGGTGTCGACGGAAAAGCATCGGGCTTTCCTTTGCATGAACAGGTGTCAACGGAAGGGGCCACTAAAGGAAGGGATTTTTCGTCGTTAGTATTTTCAAGAGCCAGTGTTGTGAAATCATTCACCTCTTGTGTTTTCATTTTTATACTGTTCACAATTTGGAGAGGTTTTGGAATTCTGTTAAAACGTTTCTTAGTGAAACGAATCTTTTGAAATTTTCAAATTTGGAGATTACTGTTCAATAGTATCCCACACATTAGTCAACGGTCTTGTAATTTTAGCCGCTTATACACATATCATTATATTGATCTATAATAGCATAATAGTATCGTTTTCTAAAAGAGCTCGTAAGCCTACTGATTTCTTGAGGATTTGTTCGTAACGGGCGAACTCATTAATAGTGTGTGCCGCTTTCAAATAGAAATTACATTGGGCCAGTACAAGCAAATATGTAAGATAACTTTATTTGTTTCAGCACGTTCTCAGTCCGTGGGACCTGGTCTAAGTGGCGAGAACCGTTCACCAAAAAGACAATTCCGAGCTCCTTCAGCTGCTCCTGTGGCTGGAGTGCACAAGGGGCAAATGAATGGACCTGTGCAAGTTGAAAGACGACCTCGTCCAAGTAAGTGTCTTTCTTTCGTTTAAATATCTCGGAAAGAGATGTTTCAATGTTATTTAATGTTATAGCTGTGTGTAGATGACTGGCTTCTAGTTAAAACCTGGTGTTATATTTGTCACATAATTTGTAGAATTGATGTGATGTTATTAATTTTATAGAATATGATAATGTGTGAACAAATATTACCTGAAGATATTTAAGAAGAATTGTATAAATTATATTATAACTTTAAAATTTACATTTTAAGTAATAATTATCATTGTAGTGCTTCCATTTTGATGGTAAAGGAGTAATTCAGAATGAAACAAACGATTACAATATATGTATTATTATTATTGTTGTTGTTGTTGTTGTTGCTGCTGCTGCTGCTGCTGCTGCTGCTGCTGCTGCTGCTGCTGATGCTACTGCTGTTGTAATTCGTGTCTATTAATCTACTAAACACATCTACTGAAATAAAATTACTCATATCTAAAACTGCGATATTAGGTAAATTTTTCGCCATGAGTGTTCCACTACATCATTTTTTTTGTAACAAGCCCTACATTCCTTATATCCACTTTGAATGCTTGAAAAGAGATTTTTCTTTTAGTAGTGAAGAAATAGCCATAAGTAGATGATAAACTTTTATATAATTGTAAATTTTATTTTAAATATAGGTAATCTCGCGCATTCTCATTACTGCAATGCGTGATATACAAAATCACGGAAGTTTATGTACAAAACATCAGTTATTTACGGTAGAGATTGTTTTAACGTTAAGTCTTACATTAAGCGATATCCTAGAATCATTTCTTGAATTTTAAAATATCTTACAGTAATATGTTTATTAAAATGTAATTTTTCTTTGTTAAACGTGATTCATAGCAAATCATGGTTTCACCTAAATCATGACAGTTGGATTTTTAATGATAATCTTCTTGAACTCCGTCTCTGTCGATAGGGATAGTGTTAGTGACATATGGGTCTTTTTTTAATGTGGTATGTTGACCTGTAGAAAGACGTAGACAAAACATGCGGACTTCGTAATGTATTTGTTTTAATGATACTCTACTTTTTAATGAAATGGAAATGTCGATCGCTCTTAACCTTTCTTAAAATTTCAACCTAAGCTGCACATTTGCAAACAAACAAATGTTTTACGTCCCGGAATAGTTCAAGCATGGAAGAGAAAATACTTCTTAGGGAAGGATGAAGCTTGAAGCACAACGCTCTTTAAAAATTACGCCGATTCCAGTGCGAGGAATCGCAATTTTGAGCTGCGAACTGCAACGAGCTGCCTGCTTCCCGCTCGCCACTCACTTAACAAAATACATTGTCACCGACCTGGGTGAATTAAAGGTGAAAGTCTCCTTTGCCCATGCGCAAGGAAGAGCTTTCTTCTGCTTAGTGGCAGTGACTTACGGGCATTGAAATGCGCTTCAGTAGAGAGAGAATACACCGTAGTGGATCTAGGGTCTTTATTATTGTGCTTAAAACGCATACTTCGCATACTTATAGACGAGACTAGTTTATATGCATTTGTGTATCATAAATTGGTAACAACATCGTGAATATTTTGTTTTCCAATTCAAATTTGCCTAATGCCAGAATGAACTGTGTCTCTCATAATAATTTTAAAAAATAATACTTTTACCCTAAGATCTACTATTACAACAGTATTTATTAGAATTACGAGTTCTGTTTGAAAAGGTGAAAATAAAGAGTTGTGACTTACTACGATAGCAAAAAATATACTGAGACTGTACTCTTCCGACAAACCTCGGTAGGCGAAAGTTCATATGAACGTATGACCGTAAATGTGCTTTTAGAGAAGAATCTTTATCGTAATGTAGTTTAGTATAGTACTGCTGAATCCTAAGATCATGACCACAATGCCTCCATCCGTGAGAACAAACATAGGTAAGTTACGTGTGTCGTGAATAGGATGCATGCCACTCTTTCATTGCCTACATTTCATTGATTTTGGTTTACTTTTCAACTTAATGAATAATGAAACAAAATATTCCACCACCGCAAGTGTTCAAAATATCGACCAAGTTCATCATGATAAAGTGTACAACCACACGCCATGAGCTCTCGCGCACGCCTTGGTATATCAGGGACCTGACACACGTTACATGCTGCATCAATTTTCGGGATCAAGAGCATTCAATTTTGTAAAGCATGTCATAAGCAAAGGACTCAACACGTTTTCCAAGAAAGAAAGGCCATCGACGTTAGACGCTGCGGCGTTAGACGGTGCCAGACCACCAAGCGAGTCCAATCATTTTCTCCAAATGTTGTTCTTCAAGAGTGGTGAGAAAGTGTGGTGATCCTTCAACGTGCTGCTACTAGGCACCTTTGGGGGATCAGAAGAATATTTTCCGGAAGCTCCGACGGACAGTGTTGGAGATAATCTCGGTAACCACATCTATTCAAAATATAGGGAATTAAGAACCGATCACAAAATCGTCCACACTCACTTTTTTCCACCCAGGTATTTATAGCGAAGTTTTCTTGTAGTTTTGCTTTGACCATCGTAGATGGGGATTCCTCGTGACAGATGTATATATTTCGATGCTTGAAGAAGCCCCTTGTAAAGTTTGTCACGTCAGTGTAGCGAACAGAAGCAGGAAACCATGGTCATTACACATTTATTCAAAACACACTTTGCGTATACCATCCGATAGATTTCGACAAATTCTCGGAATTCATTGCCTGGAATTTTCACAGGTGGAATGTGTACAGTTGTCGTTTACCTTCAGTACCCAAAACTGTTCGCTGGCTTCCTTTTTTTAAGTCTTGTGACTGCTGACTTCGGGGTTCGTCGCAATTGCTTAAAAATCATCTTCAATATCCAGAGTCCAAATGTATCTTGTGCGACCAGTACCTATATCTCGTAGTACCAGCGAGTATTCCGGGGCTGTCAGCCGTTGGTGTATACATGAAAAAATGTGATGTAGATGTAGTACCTGCGGAAATAACTGTACATAGCGACTGCGAGCCTCTCTAACATTTTTCTCACCTTCGCCCTATAAAAGATGCAATCAGCCAACTCTGCACAGTAACGACTACGACTCGTGTCGAGAATTGGAGAGCCTAGATAATGGTGATCGCCAGCCTCTTACTTTCGTACAAAGCCGCTGAGTCGCTTTGATAGTGTTATAGTGCACCCTGCGCAGAAATTAGGTTCCTTTAATGATGTGTCTCTCCCTTATTAATAAAGTTTTTGAGTTTTTTTGGTTTTTGAATAATGTTTACTCAGAAGTATATATGTTGAGTACAGTCTCTTTCTGAAACATATAGTCTACCAGAGGTTCTTAAACTGTGGTACGCACACCCTCAGATGGACGCGGTAAGTTGGTAAGGCATATGTTAATATTCAGGAGAAACTTCTGAAAACAAATTAACCACTTAGGTGAAAAGTGTAGGTATAGTCTGAATTTTTCAAATTTGCAAGAGATTAAAACACCTTTTTGTAATCGTGATTTCCCTTCTGAAATAATCGCGCATAAGCTACATTTTGGGCCGAATATTTCTTGGAACCAGAAATCAGAAAACTTGGGTCAGATCATGTAGGCACGTTAACCTCGTGAAAAATGTTGATGATTCGTAATCATTTCAAATTCAGTGTTAAAACTGTTCCGCCTTAGATATTGCAATTATCCGTATTTACTCAATTTCAGGATAAAATGATGTGTTCTGTTAACACCCATACAAACAGAGAACGCTGTTATTCAATTGCCAATGAACACTTAGTTCTCTTTGTTGTGTTGGATTATATAGTATAGTTTCTTTCACGTTTTGTAATTATGCTTGCATAATTTTAACCAAATAAGAATTAAAACCGTCATTAGGAAAATTTCATTTTGGGGACACTTTTAAATCATGTCTACCAGAAACAATCTATATAAAGCTGAGGACCTCTGGTCTGCACTATTTTAGACGGTGCTTGTGTAAGAAGTTTAACTCGGAGAATTCATTACGTTTGTATCTTCAACTGCAGCAACAGCTGGAGAAAAGGAAGGAAGGGCGGTGTAAATGCTACTCCTCGTCAACAAGTCAACTAATAAATACCAAGTGTTGGTATGGTTGGATTTAAGGGATCTAAGTTGAAACAGTCCAGTTAGATACGGGTGTTTGTAGAGTCTTCGAATAATCTTGAAGGTTTGAATAAGATCACCTCATCGTCTTTTCTGTTCAAGAGTTGTAAAATTGTAATATATAAAATTTCATTTTTTCTGTTCTTCGATGAAAATAAATCAAATATCTTCTGTCTATTCTCTTAAGAAATGTTTTAAATAAAGATTAGATAATTGTAGTTTTAGATTGGAAGTTCTCCAAAATGGCAATATAATTGGGAAAAAATGGGGATCCGATCAAACACCCAATCCAATACAAGAGATCCAATACAAAGCCTAAGACACTCCATTCGAGACCACTTTGATCAAAGAAAGGTAGATGCCAACTCTTATCTTAAATATTCTGTTTCGTGAAAGGATATCATCCATTGTAGTAATTATCTCTGATTCCCAGATGTTGAAGTTTACGGAGTAGTCTTTTATTTGATACTCTGTCAAAGGCCTTTTCGAAGTCAAGTTAGGTATATAATATCCATAGATATTGTTTTGTCAAAACGATTAAAAAATGATATCTCAGAATGAATTTAGTGTACAATTATTTTTTCCATAGATCAAACAACTAGGCATATCAAAGAAAAATGCCTATTGTAAGAATCTATGGTCTATATATTTATTAAGGGACGACCTTAAATTTATGAATTGTTTTATAATCTTATGTTGACATATTTTGCAGTTCGCATTGATCAATTTATTTAAATTTAATCCAAGTAATCTGAACGAAGCAAATATATTAGATTCATATTTACTGATTACAAATCCTCCATATGTAACTCGCTGGAACATGAGCTCAACAAACCTCTGAAGCTGCACAAGGTTGATTTACAACTTACAAAATCTTAAAATTCCATGAATGTACGAGTAATATAAATTCATTTACCTTTA